TTCCCGGATTCTCCTTTTCTGACCGTTGATTGCGAGGCCCAAAAGAAATAATCCGGGGAAGTTTAAGCTTGCCACGAGATGTGCTCGGACTGACAAACCGTCTCCAATTTAGAAAGCCTGTCCAAATCCGGAGAACCTTCCCAATGAAGGATGTGGAAAGCTTTTTTTTTTTTTTTTTTTNCCCAAGAGGCCCGCAGCCGTGCGAAGCTCTGCGCCATGATCACATCTTGTCCTTCCCCTGTCTCTTATACACATCTAGATGTGTATAAGAGACAGAAACTGTAACATCCGTTAAAATTGACCTATACACCCAGACAAGTTTTTTTTTTTTTTTTTTTTCTGAATCCACCTCTCTCTGCCTGCCTACCGCAACTCCCAAGGTTATAGAGAGGGGACCCCTGCAAGCATAGCAACCTCTCAGAGTGAAAGGGATGTTGTGTGTTGCCACCCTTGCCTTAGTGGTCAGGGAGCAGGCTTGGGGCTGCCGGTCAGGCCCAGGCTATAACACAAAGACTGAGCATTTTGCAAGTAGCTGCGCCTCCCTTTTCTTCTTCCGCCACCCCTATCGATGAACGGGAGTGTCTGGGGCCAGCACACGGGTACTAAGAGGAAATGAAGGAGAGGAACAACTTATCATTTGGTTGCCGTGGGCCACCGACTGCCCTTTGTGAACTCTACGTCCGGGGATGACCGGGGATGTGGTCCTGCGCTGGTCCAAGTGCCGTATGACACCAACTGCCCTTTGAATGTTACGTCCGGCCTGGTATATATATGGTGGAAGATTTGATGTCGCAATCACATCGGTCTTTGAGAAGGAAGTTCTATTTTCTTATCAAGGCTAGGGGAGAAAGCATATTCTGTGTCATAAGACTTTTGTTCTCTTTTGCATGCCGAATACGAGGCTGGACATGTGTCCTTCGGGACTTTATAAAAGGATTGGAACGATACAGAGAAAGAAGATCACCATGGCCCCTGCGCAAGGATGGCACCCATAAATCAAGAAATGGTCCAAATCCCTTACACATACATACATACATAAGTAAAGTGAAAGATATACAATATGGTAATTGTTATTATAACGATAATTATCATATATTGGATATCTATAATATGATCTGGATATTTATACCATACATACATACATACATACACTCGTAATGCTGAAGAAAATAGCTGTCCTTGCATGACGCTTCATGCGGGCCCAACAGAAAACCAAACGGGAGGTGGTGCCGGCGGGGGGTGGCCTGTTTGGAAAGCACCTAATCTTTTTCACTTTTTACGCTGTGGAGTGGCCCAGATTTTTGGCTGTCTGGCGCTGCGTGAAACCACATTTTTCTTTCCTGGTCTGTATCTGTCGTGCGCCTGTTGGGTGTTTACTGCTGGATGGGTGCCCGTCATTTCGCGACTGTTCCTCAGGCGGATGCGCTTGAGTGGCTCCGACTGCTCTTCAGGAGGAAATCGATTGTCTGACCCTGGTGGCTTAAACTACCAGTACCCTGGCCGGGGACCCCGCGGGCACCTGCTGGTTGACCCCGTCGCTGCTGAGGTGGTCCTGCCGAGGGGGTAAGACCGTAAAAGACATAGTATCGTTCGTCAATTTTGGCAATTTGTCGCTCTGGCCGGCGCAGAGTACATGCTGATGCATAAAGGGGAAAGTATTTCTAAGTTTTGTATTCATACCGTACTCGGAGAAAGTGGGCCCTATAAGATGTAGCCCGTCGATCCCAAGGGAAACTTTCCCTGCGAGCACCAGAACGCGATGAGCTGTCCGGATACAAGTACAGGTGTTTGCAAAGAGGTCGTAGTAAAGAGGTTGCGAGCTCGACTTGTGGTCACCGTGGAATGATATGAATATGGCAATATACAGTAATGGGCGTAGAACATGCAACTGTTAGCGAAGAAGTCATGAGCTCGAATTGCGACGGAATCCTGCGAATACAGGAATGGTAGGTGGTTTGCCATTGATTTTGTCATTTTCCGCCCTTTCCTTTCACGGTACATACAAAAGCAGGAGATGGAATCGTCTCAAGGCTGGAGCTGGAGTTCTGGTGGAATAAGATGAGTAGAGGCGTTTAGGGTATATTGTTTTCCTTTCGTTTCATTTCGTATGTTTCTCTGTTTTGTTTTTTTCTCCCCTGGTTTGCAGGATTGGCTTTTCCCGTTGCGCTATTTGTCGTTTTGCAGTGTGTATCTGCTGGAGGGTGTAATTAACCCCCTCGGCGTGCCGCGCCATATTTTTCCGTTCCCTGCTTGCCTCTCCTATTCTTCTGCCTCACACCTGCAGCATTACCACCCTACGAGGTCTACCCCTTGGTGATGGTCCCAGGCAGCCCGCTAGTGGTCTGGGAGTCTGCACCCTAGGACTACAGTCCAGAGTAGTCGTCCGGAATAGTCGTCCGGAATAGTCGTTGCTTTTGCCGGCAAAATCGCAGTCCAGAGGGCTGTCAGCTTCTCTCAGGTGGCTCCTTGTATTCTCGACACCATGATGTCTGAATTCTGTATAGTGGTCACATGTCAGGATCTCCTTTCGGCGATCTCCCACCTCTCGTTTGTCGTACGTTCGGGCATAGGTTCCGTCGTTTCCTATTTGGCCTTCTGGCTGCTTGGGAAGAGGTGAATCAGATCCTTTGTCCCAGGGGTTTGTTAAACTTTGTTTCCTTCCCCCCTCCCCGGGGAGAAAAAAAGCCCCATGTGGGCCCGTCCCCGTATCCATTCCGCCTTTGTCTGGGATTGTATTTCATCGGTTGCAGTACAGGTTGTGGTTGTGAGTGTGGTGTCTCTCGCATTTTTATCTGGCGCCTTCTCTCCCCGAGTGACCTGGATTACCTGCAAACAGAATATGTTAAGTCGTGAGAGCAGAAAGTTCACATCGTGCCGGATTGTCTCAGGTTATAGCGGTGATAATCCACCAGTATGTTTCCCAATTATTTGCAAGGACGAGGTTATTAATACGTCTTGTTTGCCAGGGCTTGGGCTACCAAATTTGAAGCCTGCGCCAGATGGGCACAAATCAGCATGCAGAACAAATCGTCAAGGCTCTGAAGTGCTGGCGGTTTTAAAAAGGGTGAGAAGTCAGGAGGGTAGAATGAAGCTGAGATAGGGGTATCAGATGCCCCCCAAAAAGTAAAATAAATAAATAAATAAAAGGAGAGGACCTGGACATTTCTAGGCCGTGCATCGCAGAGGCGGATCTGAAGCGAGACCCTGAACCTGAGGAAGCAAAGAAAATGGTGGGGGCATTGCATTGGTAGCAGCAGGCCCACGATGGTCATAATAGCGACTGAGACTAGGTGGAAAGAGTAATGCGTGAGTGTGTGATTTTATGCGCTCGTCATTCTTTATAGCTGTGTCATCTTTAGCTCCAATGGTCTCAGTTTTCTCCTGTCGATGGTCTCAGTTTTTGCGAAGTTTTCTCCTGTCTACGTTAGGGTTCATGTGGGCTGCGTTCTTGGCATTGGTAGGTACTCCCAAGTTTCTGTTGAGCTCATTAATCTATGAAACAACTTCTCATTTTTAATGCGTGTCATCCTCAAAGCGCAGGGGCCATGCTAATCTTCATCCTCTGTATCGTTCCAATTTCAATGGATGTGTCCTGAAGGACATTTATGAAACAACTTCATCTCAGTCAAGATTTGAGTTTGGGGTAGGCCAGGAAAAAAAAAAAAAAAAAAAAAACTAAATGCAGTTTTGTCACAGCCGGCAGTTTTGGATGTGCAAAAAGAGGGAAATTAGGGGTATTTTATTTTTGCCGTTCTCGAACGCAGGCCCCCTGCACACCACTGACTGCCCAACCCTGTTGTTTTTGCGCGCCTGACCTGCTATGCGCTTTTTATTTTTGGCTATTCTTTTTCTTTTTCTTTCGGCAAGTAGTTGTTGGCTTGTAATTTATGTTATGTAATACGTATATTTACTACATTACTTTTTTTTTTTCTTTTTTTTTTTTTGGGTTTATGGTACGTATCTTAAAACGGCCTTATAGTACGTAGCATCGGTACGTATCTTAGTGTATAGTACGCACTACGTACCGAGCACTGTTGATAAATAAATCAGTGAAAGAGTCGCACAAGCTTCCCTCAATCCTCCTTAAAACCATCACTACCTCCTGAAAGGTTGGTTAGCGAGGGGTTACCTTCGGTGGTGGTCCGGTCAGCCATCTGTGAATTTCATCGATGGCGCAAAGTTCGCCCCGACGCCCGAAGGTCGTGGCGCTGATGTGTGGGCGAACAGTCGGTGAGGCACTGGTGGTTAAAACCCACCAGCGCATGGGCCTAGGAAACTCGAGGAAACGAGAGAGCCTATCTGAAAAGTGTGGAGGCGCAGGGCAACAGGACCAAAAAAAATTGCTCGCAGCGCCGCCCAATCGAAAATAAAAATGCCATGGTGGCGTTTCGGCGAATCTGGGCGCCCATGGGGAAGCCGCCAACCTTGCTGTACCGATTGTTTTTAGAACTTGGAAAGTATATAGTGGAACATCCTGGAACAGAAAGGAAGAAAAAAGGAGCTGTCCTTCGGGACATCCATTAAAATTGGCCCCTGCACAAGGATGAAACGCATAAATAAATTAAAATAATAGAGAAATGGTCCTTTGTTTAATTTTATATTTTTTAAAAGGAAGTAGAGGATATGGGAAACCTGTGTAGCACACCGAACATGTTTGGAGCTTTTGCGAACGTGTGCAGCCGAGCATTTTTTTTTTCGGTTGATTTGTTTTTGTCGTTTTTTTTTATTGTTTTTTTAAATTGTGTTTGGCTAAGAATGTTTTTTTGAACATGCCTCCCAGGCAAAAGTTTGTTTGTAATATTCTATTATTATTAACATAACATATATTTTTACATTCGCGTTTGGAGGGTCTTGGCGCTCGGTGGTGTTCGGTCGCGAACGTTCCGGTTTCGGTTGTCGAAAACGAACATGATATGTATTGTGCGAAACCGTCGGGTTATCGAAGAACGTATATGGTCTGATCGGGTTTTGGTTGCCTGGTTTGATATGGAATTGTGCAGGTCGGTTTTGCCGCTGGCGGATTAGCGCTTGCCGGATGTGCTACGGCAGCAGGTTCTGGTAATGAGTACGTGCTGGCAGCTCTTCCGCTTGCTTCTTGCTTGCCGTACACCCTGGCCTTCTTGATGAATATCAACCACCAATTGCTTGATCAGGACTTGGACACAGCATCGACCAAAGCGAAAGAACTACTTCAAACTTGGAACAAGAGACATGCTGTGCGAACGGCTTGTGGCCTTGCCTCTTTTGCTGCGTTATTGTATCTTAGAGAGAAGAACTGATCGAACACCTGCTTGCATACCCAACAAAGCAAATGCATCCGTAAATAGCAAAGCAACTTGTGGTGGTCAGGTTGCCAGCGTCGTCAGCAGAACAGAAAACTCGAAGTCCTGATGGATTAGAAGTGGCGCTTCTATCGCTATGCTTGACTGGGATGAGTGGTAAGCAAATGGAGTGATGCCATTGGATGACTTCGTACTACCACTCCATACTCCGGTTCAACATGACATTGTTTGGTTTTGCCTATCAGCGACTCTAGTTTGAGCAGATCTACTACATCAGAATTAGCCACGGGGCTTGGCATCCTGTCTGGTCAAGGCCGTATGCTGCAACATAGGTCGCGCCTTTCCTTTTTTGGCAGTCCCAAGGAAAAAGTACCCCAGAGAAAGCATTTGTGGAGGACCAACTTGACCGGACAGGAGGCTGGGGAAGATAAGGATGACGTGGCAGGAGAAGGGATCCCAAGCAGGGGGCACACAGAGAGAGAGAGAGAGAGAGAGAGAGAGAGAGAGAGAGAGAGAGAGAGAGAGAGAGAGAGAGAGGTCTATATGATTTGAGAAGTCCCACGAGAACAGTGGCCTTCGACCAAATCAATTCCTGACTGCAATTGGCACGAAGCATGCAGGTTACCCGAACTTCATCTGCAATTGCTATGGCAATGGTTTTCGTCTTCTTTCTCCAAGTATACAATTTCTCTGTCATTTCTTTCTTTGTTCGGCAAGTATAAAATTCTATTCTATGTCATTTCTTTCTTCTTTTTAGCAAGTACAAAATTGTATGTTCTCTTCTTCTTTCGGTAGGTATAAATTTCTATGTCAATGACATCTCTTTTTCGGAGTTTCCTCACCCACCTCATTTTTCTCTGTTCTTTCGTTCTGTTCTGCCTCTACCTGTGCGTTCTTGCTTCTTTGTTCATCTTTGAACAAGTATGGTGACATATGAAACTCTGACGAAACAGTTTGTCACAGCCCCCTCGTTTGTTGTCATCTTCTCCCTCTCTGCCGACGGTTTACTGTGCAGCTCTGTTTATATATATATATATATATAATATATATTCTTTTTTCTTGTTTGACGTTTGATGATATATAAATCTGTTTGACTATGTATTATATATATATAAATATATATATATATCTTGTGTTCATTTCATTCCATCAGGTTTCGACCTGGTTATGTGTTTATTGAAAGGTTACATGTGTATAACCATTCTTGAAGACAATTCTATGTCGTCTACTGCCGTCTTGTGTCTTTTCCGTGCCATGCAGCTTCTTTCTCCCCGCTGATGTCTTGCCTTGGCGTCTTCCCTTGTTATGTCTGCTTAGGGCTTATCTTTTGTCTACTTGTCTTCCTCCTCCTCCTCTTCCTCCCCCTCCTTGTCGTGTTATGGTCTAACCAGTTGGCTTGAAACACAGAATGGTGTGTGGTAGGCTTGTGACAAGTACCAAATTCTGTGCCCTCTCTTGCTGCCTCTCTTCTCCTCTCTCTTCTCTCCTCCCCTCCCTGACGTAGTGTTTTTGCTTCTTTATTCGTTCTGTTTCATCCTCTTCCTCCTCTTCCTCCTCTTCGTTCTGTTTCCTCTTCTTTCTCCTCTCCCTCCTCCTTGCAGCGTCTATTGCCACACCTTTATGGAGAAATAGGCTTGGCTCTCATCATCAAAAGTTGTATGCTGCTGTATGGTTGGTAAATTGGTAATACATTTCTGGGCCTTTTTGCTAAAAATAGATAAAGGGTAATACCGTAATACCAGAAGTTCACGAGAGCCGAAGTTGAGGTCTTGCCAGCAAATGCTGTAAGCGCATTTTCGCTTTGGGCCTGCGTTGGTAGCAAAAGCGGAAGCCCGCTTTGGAAAGGCGCAGTCGTAGGCTCGTGCGGCTTGAAGGTATAGCTTTGTCAGTTTAGGATCCGTGTGGACTTTGGGGCTTCATTCGAAAGGGGTGAATGGTATCCCTCGTATGCAACGTATCGAATTCTAATGCATCTCTTGCTGCCTCTTTTGTCCTTTGTGTTGTCTTCTTTGCCCCGTTCATCTTCGTTCCCCTCCCTGATGTCCTGTTCTGTTTCTCCCCTTCTAACCCCTTGCTCAGCTTTATGTTTGTCTTTCGTCTCCGCCGCCCCGCCGCGGCCACGCCGCCGCCGCAGCCGCCGCCCCTTGTTTTTTTGTTTTTTTTGTTTTTTGCCTTCTGATATTTGTTCTGTTCCTGTGGTTGCATTTGGATTCGGACACGAGTCCGCATTTTATCAGTTCATGTGTGTACCAACTGAGCTAAAGCGTGTTGGTTGCTCCTTACCTCCTCCTCCTCCTCCTCCTCCTCCTCCTCGTTGTTGTGTCTATGACCGCATGCTTATGGTCGGACCATCTTGCCTCTCATGGCGAAAAGGTATATTCCCGCCTTTTGTCAAGTCCAGGCCCCATATCATCCGCATCCGGAACACTCGTTCAAATGACTGATGAAGTTGTGGAATTCCGATTGAGCAGAGTTACTGTAGCAGTCTTGCCTGTTCTGTCTGTCCTCATCTGAGCAAATTCTTCAAGTCCATCTGCATTATAAATGAGTCGTGCTTGCTTTACTTAACTGTGATAGTTCATCCTAACACACGAGTCTATCTGCATTATGAACAAGCGAGTTGTTTTTTAGGGCATCGATCGCCACACCATTACCACGCCCGAAATGTGCAAAATGAGAAATGAGAATGATCTGTCGCTGGGCCTGGTTCCCAGCACGTGCTGCTCCCCACGAATAGACTGGAGCATTTGTTCAAAAAAAAAAAAAAGAAAAAAAAAAAGAAACTTCAACGATGAAGTTGTGGAATTCCCGGCGAAGTATGAACAGAGTAACTCATTTTGCACATATCCCGAGTGGTGTGGGGATGCCCTCAAAGGCTCAAATAACTCGTTTAAAATGCAGAAGGACTGGTGTGTGAGGATGACCTACCCTGCTAGAACATGGCCAGATGCACGCGCCACATTTTTGTCTTTTTTACATTTCGTGAGTGGTGTGGCGAGGCCCTTAGTCAGCAGTGCCAGTTTGTGGATTTTTTTATTATTATTATTATTATTTTTTCAAACAGCTTGTTCTCGCTCTGACTTGTCTTGTCTCTCTGATCTTAGTGATGAAGGTAGGTGCATCTGTTGGGCCGCGCCTTGTTCTTTGTTTTTTTTTTGTTTTTTTTTGTGTAGTTTTAAAGTTTTTTTTTTTTTTAATGAAAAAAACAAATTGTAATGGGGGGACAGCTGTATTTTTAGTCTTTTTTTTTTTTTTTTTAACTATGCTTTCTTCTCCCAATGTTATGTTAGTCTCCCACTAGTTACGTCAGAGCCTCCTCCCACTAGCTACCTACCAATCGCCACACACGAGCCCTCCGTTGACCTGCAACCTAAATACCGAGCGCATAGCATGGGACACAGAAAGTTATGGGTGCCCCCCGCCCAAGGCAATCGCCCTAATATAATCCCGGCCTGCCTATCCCTTTTAGGTTCAACCTAACCCCCACCTTCTTCCCCTGAATACAACGTACGGTCATTATGTCTGTATCTAGACTGAAAGATGCCTCGAATACAGCTATAATGACCGTACGTTGCATTCGGGGGAAGAAGGTAGTGATGGATGCGAGGGACGAAGGCATAGCCTCGTATCCCCTCAGGGGTTCAATCCTTACCCCTGGTAATGGATCGAGGGGACAAAGGCATAGCCTCTACCAAGACCAACCACGGGGGGGGGGGGGGGCAAGCCAACTACGTCTTGAGGTGAACCAAAAGTCCCGAATTTTCATTGGTGTGCTGCTGCTTGGGCCTGTGAGTCACGATTTTTTTATTATGGCACACACATGGCTTTTGACTGTGGTTTGTGACACCTGTTGGATACAACTTTTGCCTGTGGAAGTGTCTTTTGCCCATGAGATGTGACATTCCAATACGACTTTTCATTATGAGGCGTGATTTTTACCCCTGGGATGTGACTGTTTGCCGGATGCCTAATGGACTTGACTGCTAAGGTACCTGACTGTGACTTTTCTGAAACTGACCGTCTCTGCCAAGGTACCCGACTGTGACTTTTCTGAAACTGACCGTCTCGGCCAAGGTACCCGACTGTGACTTTTCTGAAACTGACCGTCTTGGCCTTTCTTGGCCCAGGCCTCTGACCCTGAAACTCGAATTTGGGGTCTTGAATCGTGGAAGGCCTTTCAGTCTAGGGGGGGAAGAGAGAGAGAGAGAGAGAGAGAGAGAAATAAACAAACAAACAAACAAACAAACAGACAAACTAAACAATCTGCTGTCAGCAGGTTCGACTGCTCTTGACCTTCTCCGTGAACATCATAGACTACAGCAGATTACAGAGATGATGCCTTTCTCTAACCCTCTGTATAAATTTTGATTTCAACCTTGGCCCATCTTGTTACGGCCATTTCGGATCTTCTTGCGAATCATTTTGGATTTTCTGCTAATGGTGTGTGTGGAATGAACTCGCGTGGTTCCCTCACCCCTCGCACAATCTTTGGATGACTAGTTTAGCTCAAATTTCGTCACTTCCTAGTCCCCATTCTGCGCTCGGGTTGGATGCGCTCCTCATGCATGTTACGGAATTGCCAACCTTCGGATCTTGAGTGTGGGATGGTGTGCATCTTTTTCTCGTTT